TGAATGGCTCATAAAGAATGATTCATCTGATCAAGCCAGGAAGGATTTGACAATCACCATGGAGTCTGGGACTTCAACTTCAGAAAGCCTATCCCTTACCTTTCCCCAAGGCTTCTGATGAGCTACCTTAGACACCAAAAAGATGTTAGCTTTCCACTGTAGTCCTGACTGCAAAAACCACCAGGGAACAGCTGTGACAGGGGATCTTTTTCATACATCTGCTGGGACTTAGAGATTCATAATTTCTCTCTGAGAAAAGTCAGTATGGAGCAATTTCTGTGCCATCTGGGATCATACCTGGGCTATGGAAACAAGGAGATACCCACTTAGAATTAATTTGGATGCTTGTTGGGAATGTCAGCAACGGGAAACTGCCTCACTGAGTGGTTTTATTTCTACATCCAAGGGTAAAGGGGAAAAAAAGTACAAAGGCTGTCATTCAGTGCGCCCCACCGCAAGGTAAATAAAGTTAATTTCTTCAAAGGTACTTCAGTACTTATCTCTACTCATTCTCTCAGGGTTCAAGTTTTAGACATTATCTTCTTGTTTCAACTAGGCAGCAGTGGATAGATTACAGAGCGTGGGGTCAGCAAGATCCCAGTTCAAATCCAGTCTCAGATACTAGATCAGAGTTCAAATCCAGTCTCAGATACTTACTAGCTGTATGATTCTGGGTTTAAGTCACTTAGTTGCTGTGTGCTTCAGTTTTCTCAATTGGAAAATGGGGATAGTAACAGTACATACCCCTCAGGGACTTGTGAGGATTAAATGAGATATCTACAAAGTGCTTGGCACATAGTAGGCACTATCTAAATGCTTATTCCTTTTCTCTCCCCTTTTCTGTTAAAGAGGGAAAATTTCAGATCGAACAGCAGTACAAAGACAGTAAGGAATGAGATATATAAATCATGGATTCAAGTCCTCCAAAGGATTAAAAAAAAAAAAAAAAGACTAAATGGGTTAACATCATGGCAATGACTTGATACGTGGCCAATACCCACCAATGGAGACATATATACAAAAAACAAATCCAAATTTTAATGATTAGTCTTAATTTCACCCTTTTTCTCTCTGAATTTTCTTTGGAACAAACAGTGGTTAGCATTTAGAGCTAAGCTTAAAAGGTCATATAGATTCAGAGCCCTCATTTTACAGATGAGAAAAATGAGACCTAGAGGCTAAGTGCTCTACTCAAGGCCCCACAGGTAGTGGTAAATCCAGGACTGAGCCCAGTCTTACCTCCAACCCAGTGCCCTTTCCACTGCACCACGCTGACGGACAGCCAGAATGCCAAGGGGAGAAGACAAAATAAAGGGCTTATTTAAATAATTCATACAGTGATTACACGGATCAAAGGATACATTTCTTTCAAACTGTTATAAAAAGACAGTTCTATCATTTTAGCCCTTGACCTCTATCTATCCAAGAAAAAAAAAAAGTCAAATTCAGGTTAAATTAGTCCAAAAAAGAGTCCCAAAGTTCAAGGGTCAGGTTATTATTACACAACCAAGAGTAAAACCCATTGCCTAATCAGCAGCTTTAAGACTGTGTGTATTTATCTATATAGATGTGTGTGTATGTACAAGGAGAGAGAGAGAAAGAGAGAGAGAAAGAGATGTATATAGATGAGTACCATTTTCCAGAGAATAATCTGGTTTTTTGGCTACTACAAGGCTGAATTAACCTCAGTGTTACCCTGGGTAAGATAAAGAATTTTGTTTTTAAGCACTCTCAGTTCATCTTCAAAGGCAAATTAATCCTAACATCTTTTCAGAAACAAAGAAGTTGATAACTTTAAAAGATGCTTGGTTTTGTTTCTTTTTTAACTGGGCTCATGTTTAGCTTTTTTTTTTTTTAAAAGAGAATTCCCAATGCAGAAACTTTCTCCACCGATGCAGATTAATGCCACTTTTGGCACATTCAGTTTCTGGTATAACTGAGAGAGTTGCCCAGGAACACTGGGAGGATAAGGATGTGCCCAGGGTGACACAAGTTACCCTTCAGTCTCAGATAAAAATCCTATCTTCTATTAATTCTAGTGCCTTCTCTCTGTTATTTTTACCAACTTATCCTATATATAGCTTCTTCGTATAGTATTTGGCACACTGTTTCTCCTAACAGATTGTTAAGCTCCTCAGGAGCAGGGACTTTTTTTTTTTTTTAAACCTTTCTTTGTAACCCCTAGTCTTAGTACAATGCTTGGCATATAGGTTAAAGTTTTGACTGACAGTCAGCAAGTGTCAAGAAAAGAACTTGAAGCCAGGCCATAATACTGCGAGGCTACCCACCTCTCAGAGGTTATCTTCTTTATTAAAACCTGGCTACACCCCCAGGATAGAATGAGGCAGAGTGACTTGGGAAACTGTATCGAGAGACCTGTATCCAGCATGGAAGAAGGGTAGAAGAACTAAGAGAGTAGACTATGGTGATTGAGATTCAGTATTTCTCAACGTGGCACAGACCCTCTATCTATGCCTATCTCTAAAAAATAGTGATATACAAACCTATTTGGACTTCAGCACATATTTCTCAGTACTACAGCATACATACGAAGGATGCTGCTGATGGCAGAGAATTTTAAGAATTGTTTTGTTTTTTGGGGGTTGGAGGAGGGGGTGTGTATAGTACAGGAAGAGATAGATAGAATGGGGACTGGGACCTGGGCCTGTCATTTCACCAGTGAAAGGAGTTTCAGGTGAAGAAATTCCCTTACCACTGCTAACTGGCTGATAGGTGGGACCTAAAGCCAGATCTCCCAGACTCCAGGGGTAGCTCTCTATGTATCTACTCTGCTACTTCTACAATTAAGTGCTTAATATTCAATAAAGCACTAATACATTGATAGAAAGTATATACTAGTACCTCACATCAACATCAAAGAGCAAGCTGTTCTATACAGGTGAATTATCCTGAGAGCTGAAATTTTTCTGGATTACCAATTCAGACTCATCCATTATGAAACTCCACTATTGGATATGCTACAGGATAATGCTGCCTTCAGAAGTGAGGTTTGCTCCTATAATAAATGGCCCTAGATAATTTTGCTTTTGGGGGGGGGGCAAGAAAAGAAACAGAAATATTTGCCAAAAAAGAGCAAAACTGTCTTTCCTGTGTCTTCCCCTCAAATGTTGTTTGGGAAAGCAGACAGCCCAGCTTCTAAACAGTTATGTCTTGAGACATCTATTTATCAGAAGCCTTTTGCTTACCTATGGGGCCCTTGGCTATATAAATTTTGGACATTTGAGATTAGGTACTGCCATTTCAGTTGGATGAAGGATTTATGGAAAACCCAAACAAACCACTTGCACGAGTATTTTATGGTTATGTTTAAACTATCAAAGCCTTTAGGTTCCACCAGCCCAAAGCCAAGATTCATAATAAACAAACTGAGTCAAGAAGAGAACCGCTGACAGAACTTCAGGGCTGGTACTGATAATGAAAGGTCATCTTTGGGGGAGGCTTTTGCTCGATAATCCATTCCAACATTATTACAGGATTTGTGAAAGCAGAACATTCTACACATTGTAATGTACCTGCTATGCACACAGGGGTACATAAACTGCAATTCTTACTTGGTTCTCTAAAAGCTTAAAAGTTCATACAAAGAAGGACTGTGGTGTTTACACCAGCTAGATATAATATAATAACCTGGTGAAGATTTAAGCCCAACACTACCTAAATTGCACAGTCCAATAGAGAACTTACCTTTCCAGAAAAGAGCCCATCCATCTGCACCTGCAAACACTGCATGGACACAATGCTCTGGGGTCTCATGCTGTCAAGGAACCATCACCTTCACTGCTTCAAGCAGTCTACCACTAGCCTAGGCAATTCAGCTTAACACATATTAAGGGACTGCTATGTGCAAGATGCTAAAGATACAAAGGTAAAGGAAGATTGATTCAAAGTTTCTTGGAAATAAAGACTAAGGGAATGAAGGATAACTGGTTCATTTAGAGTGGGAAACTTCAGGGAACCCCAGGAAAAGGCTTGGTTAATACATAGCAAAAAAAAAAAAAAAAAAAAAAAAAAAAAAAGTAGAAATATGTGGTCACCTAATAAAACCTTAATGTGGAAGGGGTGTGTAGAGAATATTAGTTACTTGAGGTCATCCTTAAAAGCCACAAGTGGTCTAGAACTACATTTTTTAGAACCAATACTTTCAAATTATCGTACCCCAGAGAGAGAAAAATAGAATAACAACAGCTAGTTTGTTATCTAGTGTTGATTACTTAGGGTTTGTAATCCATCTTACTCACTCCTGAGCTAACTCCACTAGTCTTTCCTGCTAATACTACTTTACCACCTCCAAATTCCTACTGAGAAGAAATACTAGTAGCTGGCTATTCCAAGAGTTCTAAAAATGTCAGGCAGTGTCAGACTTGCCTTTTTCTAAGAAAATAAGCTCCTAGTGGGTTTTACATGTATGCATACACCACCCCACCCCAGGCAGATGCTACTAGTCTCCTCGTTGAGTCTTCACATCAAGCCACAGTTCATGGATATCCACTATCATATCGACCCTACATCTTAATTTGCCACCTAAGCTGTTATAGGTATTTGAAAATTATATCCTCTCCCTCTTAGTGAGGGAATGCAGATTAAGAGGCTTCCCCCCTCCCACTATCTGTATGTGCCTATTACCCTTACCCTAGCCTCAGGTATAGAAATCTTACCATTTTTTCAACTTCCATTTTTGTTTTATTTTAGTAAAACAATGTCGACCAGTTTATAAAGGTGTTTTTAACCAATGTAAAAGAAGGCAAAAAGTACAGCCTTACAAACCAAAGGATAAAAGAAACTTTTAATTCAATTTTCACTTTGCTATCTCATCAAAGGAAATATGTTAATAGTGAAATAATCCAAAAGAAGTATTAATTTTTCCCTAGACAGATATAGGAAAGGCTTTATTCAGAAAATACTGTGTTCCTAACAAGCATGACCTGGCATATACTTGGGGCAGCATTTCAATACAGAAGAAACATCAATAGAGAGCATACCTGCGGAATCGTGGTCTATAACCCCGATACATATTCTGTCTCACTGGTCTACCTTGTTCTCCTGCACCCTGGTTGTCAGCACCCTGAAAAACAAACAAACAAAACCCAAAATGCACATCAAATCTACTAAAACCAGTAATGGAAGGTTAAAACCCAATCATTCCAAAGAGGCAAGAGTATAATGCAAATCACCTTGTACCTTAGTTCACTTAGGCAATATTTACATAGCACTTTAAATTTTCTAAAGTTTTTTTATTATACACTATCACATTTGATCCTTGACACTGCCCTAAGAGGTAGGTGCTATTATTATTCCCATTTTATAGAAGAGGAAACTGAAGCAGGTTAAGTGACTTGCCCAGGGTCACATAATTATCTGAAGTAGGAGGTGAACTCAGGTTTTCTTGGTTCCAAGTTCACCACTCTATTCATTATCACTAACCTTTAATCCAGTATAGGTAATGGACGTACTAATTACATTAAGAACTGTTAACTGGTCCTATATTCTTAAAATTTAGTTTCCTTACCTGAAGTAGGAAAATTATCACACATTCATTTTACAGTGGTTATGAGAAAGACTATTTTTAAAGAAAACAACCAACCTCAAAGACAGGCATAAGAAAAGTCCTCAAAACTTTTAAGTCTCAGAGAAAGAGAAGCTAATACATTACACATCAATTCTATATGATTTCCACAGTTAATGTCTTTCCCATAACATTACCTCCATTACTTCTCCCTGCACAGGAGGGTTGGAATACTGTGGTCGACGCCCATAGGGTCTCCGCATGTAGTAAGGTGGGAACCGCCGCCTGCGGTAGGGACGGCGTTGTTGGGGCTGGCCTTCTGGAGCACTCTCTGATCCCTCGTTTTTTTCCCCACTCTCACTATTCTGGTAATTCTGCTGGTAGTTCCGTGGAGGACCCCTACGACGTGGATAACGTCTGTAATGGTTACGGTCGGCTGCATATTTACTGCCTTGAACTGGAACGCCACCAGGACCTGTGACATTAGCTGCCTCCGCACCCTACAAAAGCCATTACAAGTTGATAGTGACACTCAAAGGAAATCAGACATAACTGTATTCACAAAATTCACAGTTAAAAAACAAACAAAAAAAAAGGTTTGCTGTGGCCAGGGGGTGCATACACACACCACGTGACTGAAATGTATCAGTTCATCACGGCTCTGAAGAGATTGCACACTAACTGCAGCCAGCACACAATAGGGAAGCTATAAAGCTTGATGAACCTGTATTTGTGGTCATCTGACCCATCTACATTAGAGTCACCATCAAAACTCATAATTTCCGGACTGAAGTCAAACCTTTACACAGAAAACATCCTCACCTTTTCTCCTTCAACAACATCAAACTCCACAGTCTCTCCATCTCCTACACTGCGAAGGTACTTCCTGGGGTTATTCTTCTTTATGGCAGTCTAGTAATATCACATTCCAAAATTAGATTAACAGGGGTGAATAATGTGCTTTTTCATTTAAAATGTACCAGAGTTAATTATTATGTTGAATATACTTGGAAATACATTTGACCTAAAGATGAATTGAAATGAAACCACAAGTTCATTAAATTTAGAAAGGTAGGGAGAACAAAAGACCTATATCCACAGACTATACTTAGATGCTATAATCTTACACGTGTTTTACCCCTAGTTTACCCAGTGCTTACCACTATTTTTTTTTTTCCTTAACCAGACTTGTGATTTCATTGTGTAATGAGCTCCTGCTGAGGAAGTTCCTTCTGCCAATTAAGGCACGAGACCTTCTCTGCACATCAGTCTTAGACAGTAACCTGGGGCACTGAGACTTGCTAAGGGTCACGCAGTCAGTACAGTGTCAGAGGTAGGACTTGAACTCAGGGCTTCCTGACTCCAAGGCCAGTTCTCTATCCACTACGCCATGCTGTCTCTCAGCTTTCCTACTTCATTTACATCAAGAATGGCTGTAGCATTCAAAAGAGACATTAAGATATGTACCCTTGTGTTTGCTTCCTACAAATCCAAGTTTAGTTATACAATGTTTGTAAAGAAAATCAAGTTATGCTCTATCTCCCCATGTCTGTTCTCAACAATGGAAGCTAGCCCCACTCAGGGCTGGTTTAGATGACAGGCAAATTTGGTTTATCCATTTATCAACTGACCAAGCCTCAACTTGGTCCTTGGCTTTATCCCACCAAGCCATCACAAATGTCAGTTGAAACCTCTCTCTTCCTGTGTTTCTGGGGCACCGCAGAGAAAGCTCTTGATGTACCTGGTGCTAGTGAATTACTCCTCTCATTTAATATCACCAGGCAACTTGGTTATTTCGTTCCCTGAAATTCACTAGAACCTCTTCACTCTGCTGGCCACCATAATCAGTTAATGTGCAACTCAAACCTACTCTAAGAAGCATTCTTAACCTCATTCCAGAGTAACATAAAGACTGTGAATGAAGACTCCATTCCCTGGGCTCCAAAACTGGGTAAGTAGCACTAAAGAGTTAGGCCATGGGAAAGAAAACCAGTACGTCCCCCATGAAGTAAATGGTTTGTTTCCATTACATGATTAAAAAACATTTTCGTTGCCTGCAAATGAGGATGGTTTTGTTAAGAATAACAAGGGTGTGAGGTCACCTGAGCCCAACCACTATCTAGAACCTTTGAAAGCCAAAGTTTCTGTGTTCATCTTGGACTCCCACCCCTATCACTACTAAAACCTAGGATCCAGAAAAGAATCGAGCCAAGAGTTAAAAGCTGAAACAATCAACACTACTGAGAGAAAGGGAAAAAACCCCACTAGACAACATGTGGATCAATACAACTGAATATTATGACAGCAAAATAGAATCAGAACTCAAACAATGTGTCATCTAAACCATCCCTTGAGTTTTTAACCCTTCATATACAGCTAACTACATTACCTGAAGCTGTGGGAGATTAACAACCATATGGATAATATATCCACAAATAATGCCAAGCCCTTATTTTGGTAAATGGTCCCAACCTCTTCTCCTAATTTTTTCACCAAGGCTGCTGACAAGTAGCAAAACAGACCAGCTTTTACCACTGCATTTCCATAATTTGCATATTATTATAAAGAGGCTAATGACTGGTGAAATAAGGACTATAGATGGGAGGGGGAGCAAAGAAATCAAATAACCAAGAGTAGGCTACATTCCAACAAGACTGCTTACAAGTCTATAAAATGAGATTTTGTTCTAACATGAATCAAACCCTCAATTTTTACAGTCAACTTGACTTTGGCCATGGATAGGAGCAATGATATGGATTAAAAAAGCTACAGACATTTGGTTTTGGAATATGCTTTTGTACTTACATTTGGTCATAGGCACACCTGATGCTCTGAGAATTCATATCCTATCTTTCTGTGAAGATACTTCTGGAGGCGTTGGAAATTGACCTTGCCTCCCCATCTTGTTCCCTTCCTCCCCAACTCCATACTAAACATACAGATCCCTATTCTTATTACTACAAAGCAGCAAGCTAAACAAAACTCTCTATTCTCCTTTTCTAAGCTCGCTAGACTTTTTGGCTCACACATTCCCTGGGGTTGGGAAGAAGAGAGATTATTTATTAAGTGTTTTGGTTTTTGCTAGGTTATAGGCTATAAACACAAGAGTAAGATCAAACAATTTAAGCAGAGTAGGTGATATAAAGATCAACAATAAAGAGTGTTGAGCTCTAAGCTGCAAAATCCAGAGTAATTCCATTGCCTGTCAGTGTGTGCACAAGCAAAACACAAATCTACTCTTTTGAGGCTTCTTTATACGTGTGGCTGGAGCCCTCAGGAAAAGCCTGAGGAAGCCTCAGGTCCAACAGCAAACTACAACTACAGCATTATGCTTGAGTTTGAGATGCTTGCTCTACTCTAAACTACTACCCATCTCACTATTACTTTTCCCCACTTTACTTACCTTCAGGTGATCAAAATTTCTTAATTTTCTAACTCCTACACTCAACAATTTATATAACCTCCTATGCATGGACTCTTCAGAAAGCTTTTAAAAACTTGTTGCTGTACCTAATTCAATACTAACACAAGTTCTTGAGAAGACAATTTCTCTATGAAGTAAAACATCCATTTAAAAGTGAATTGAATCTATCTCAGGTTTCAAACACTAAAAAGCACACTTGGAATATTGCCCTACTTCTTCCAAGTCCCCACTTTCAGTTTACACTAGAATACGATGTCTCTTAACACAGAGATTGTTCTAATGGTATTTTGAACGAAAAATGAACGAATGAAGAAGCATTTATTAAGCATTTACTATGTGCCAAGCACTGTGCTAAGCGCTGGGGATACAAATACAAAAGCAAAGACAAAGCATGCTTCAAAATACCCATGTATTTATACCAAATACATTACTATAACTTCAGAAAACAAGGAAGCAGGAGTCAGTTTGGAGGTTATTTACCAATCCAGGATTTCAGGTTATAGCACTTCAGTCAGAAGTGTAGATGTCTGCACAATCACTCACCTGGTGTACAAATACATCTTCCTTGGTGTCATTCCTGCAAGATAAAATCCAAGTTTGGAGAGTCAGAAATGCATTGTGATAAAAAAAAGTTGGGCTTTGGGGCCACGTGCAACTTCTTTTTCCATGGAGAAGTACTTCCTCCATCCTTAGGAGTCTAAAGGACAGTAAAGTCCAGGGAATAAACCAGCACTCAAACATGCTTCAGCCAACTCCTCTGAAAAATCCTAGCAAAGTGAGAGATAGTAAAATCCACTAGGAGGGATTAGACCTATGAAGCTTATGAGCCTGCATTATGGGAGATGGCCTATTTGCTTGCTCAGCCAGGGTTCTTTATTATGTGCACCTGGCTTTCCCCTGAATTTCTACCTTTCCTTGATCAAGCCACCCAAAGGCAACAACACAGACAAAACAAAACATATACTCTCTTTCAGTAAAACAAAACACAACCCAAACCTCATCTGTTTGATTGGAAAATTAAGTCAAAATAACATGTAAATGTCTGTCACAAAGGCTGAAAATTAAATGAACTGACTTCTTAAAGTGGAAGGTGATAAGAAAACAGTATAAATTTTTGCCTTAAATCATGGAAGAAAACAAAACCAGAACGAGGAACCTTGGTTTGCCAAGGTAAGTCAGAAGGATTGGCTGAGGCAGCTCTGAAAAATTAGCTCCATGGTATGTCCCACAAGCTCAATCCTTGAAAGAATGATAACATTTATTACGTACTATACTAAAGTGAGACAGTCTCTAACCTCTAGAAGATTACTTCTGATATGGGGAAACTATACATATGAGGAAGTGGTATTTGGATTAACTGGAGATACAAACAAACAATGACTTGATTTAAACTTCATCACCTTTGGTGAAGCAGTCAATCAAAGTATGGATAATGGTTGCCTACCCTGAATTATAAATAAACACATTAGTTTAAAAAAAATTCCTCCAATTAAAGCATCTTTACAAGTACACAAAATAGGAATTATCCCAATTTTATGGATTAGGAAACCAAGGAACGTAGGCTAAAGTAACAACTAACTGGGGCAGAATCCAGTTCTCTTGATTTCCTACTTATTGCTCTTCCTAATGCCACTGTGCCTTTTCAATGCATGCACTCTACTTAAATTGTTCCAACACTGATGCCAAAAGCTCTGTCAAGTTGGATGACCACTCAGGTCAGGTATGCTGAATGAGCTCCCAGTAAAGAACAAATCTGTGTCTTCTCCAAGTTAGAGTTAAGTGAGCCACTGCTGACAAGTTGGGGACTTGCTCAGGGTTACGGAGCTGCCCATATTTACCAGGGGGTGGGGGGCAAGAGACGACGACACACAGATTTGAACACAGGTCATACTGACTTGCAAGGCCAGCTCTTTTATCCACAACACATCACCCTGTCTTACACTGTAGTATCAATTCTTTTGGGGACACAAACTGAGCTATCTTGGTTGCTCAGATCCCTTCCCTAACACCCTTGTGTTTTAAAACAAACCAAACAAAAGACTTATGCCTTCCCATTTCTCATGGGAACACTGAAGTAGAATGGCTGGACCAAAGGAAGAAGACCTAAAATCAGTCCAGCTCTGCTACTAATTGGCTATGAGTTTGGTCATGTTACTTCAACTCTCCACCTTAACTTCCTCATTCACAGAACAAGGTTTTATACTAGACCAAAAAATGCCACATTTCAAAATGTGTAACCAATAGTGGCACAGTAGATAGAGCACTGGGTTGGGAATCAGAAAAATTTATCTTCATGAAGTCAAATCTGGCCTCAGACACTTACTAGCTGTGTGACCTGGAGCAAGTCACTTAGCCCTGTTTGCCTCGGTTTCCTCACCTGTAAAATGAGCTGAAGAAAGAAATGGCAAACCACTCTAGTATCTCTGCTAACAAAACCCCAAATGGGGTCACAGAGATTCAGACATGACTGAAAAACAACTGAACCACCAATAACTAAGATTAGGAACACTGCTTTCATCTTTCACGTAATTAAAAAATTTCCCTACAGGACCTTAAACTGAGTTAAGAGTTGGTACACAAACTTTTCATTATTTATAATGGATTCACTGACTAGCTGTCACCTATGTACCTAGCAGGTACTCAACTGGACATATTTTAGTGAAGTTAAGAATTTGTTGCAAAGGCAGAAATGAAAATAAACACATTCAATATGAGTGACAAGTGGTGCCTAAGCAGTGTGAGTAAAGTAAGGTAATGAAGAGAACTGAGATGGGGTAAGTAGAGATAAAGAAGAGAAGTTCTTTGGCCAGAATTTTGCACAATCTATGCTGGTAATAAAACACTAAGAGAGGAATATCTCAATTATTAGCCTTCATTATTATCTAAAAAGCTCACATAACCTATGAGGCACTATCTCCAGAAAATAGAAAGCCTACAGAAAAGCTGACAGTAAAAATCACAATTTCGGAGTTTAAAGGGATTTCAGAGATCATTTAAGCCCAAATCAAACTTGAAAAAGAATCTAGGGGCAGCTAGGTGGCACAGTGGATAGAGCAGTGGCCCTGAATTCAGGAGGACCTGAGTTCAAATCTGACCTCAGACACTTAACACTTACTAGCTGTGTGACTCTGGGCAAGTCACTTAACCCCACTGCCTAGCCAAAAGAAAAAGAAAAAGAATCTGGCAAAAGAATAGACCAAGTCTGTGTAGTTCCAAAGACCAAAATAGAAGTTAATAGTTAGAAGTTATAGGAAAGGCAGAATTTGGCTAAGAATGATGAAGAATATCCTAAAAATTGTGCCTGTTCCAAAATGGAATAGAATGCCTTGTAGGAGAGTAAACTTCTCATTACTGGAAATGTCTAAGGAAAGAATGAACAAGCATCATATCTCTCAATGGATACTGTCAAAAAGATCCTTGTATTACTTCTAAAAGAAGGTTGGAATAGAGGTTTACATTCTCTTCTTAGGCCCCTCCAGCTTAATGCTTTTCACACATGGAACTCAAGGGGCCTCTACATTGTATGACAGATGGACAAGCAAACCCAACAACAGATACTCAATATTTTCCCCAAAGTTACAATTTGCAGGTCAGAGACAAGATAGAGTCATAAAATAAGGTAGCTTTGAATTTATGAGGATTGAAAGCACTAAAAGGGTGGCTAATAGAAGATCTTTGACTCCCTTGTGGCTTTGAAGGGTAGTAGTGAGTCTCATAAGGGTGAAATAAAGCAATCAGGCTCATTACTAAGCATAGCTGTTTTCAGTTACTTGGAAGCAATAGGAACAGAGTTTTTTATGTCCTATTAGTTACTAGGTACATGCAGAAAATTATCAGTTACCTCAGATAATGATGGCTAACTAAGACTAACTGCAATATTTATGTCCTTCATTCTCTTCTCTGCTCTCCAACTTCTAGTCTAACTTATCTTCCAAAAAGCTTCCCTTAACAATTTTAACCCACAACCTTCTCTTTCTTTACTATTCAACACTTGTCTGTTAAAAAGGCCAAGGTCTATCACTGCACCCAGGGCCATCTCCAGCTATTCTGATCTCTACCTTGCCACTGGACCCAGAGGGTTCTGGAGAAGAAAGTGAGACTGGTGACTTTGCAGAGCCCTGCCTCACTTAAATCCAATTCACTTGCAAGTCACAATATCACCTTCCTGATGTCATGGTCCTCTTCAAGAACAAAGGACAAACAACAACACTTGTCTGTAACACCTTGGCACCTAATTATAACTCTGTTCCATCTATTTATAGTTTCACTTCCCCATTTAAAATGTTTCTGTCAATAGCACCAATTTTATTCACCATCTCTTTTCAATCCTTACTTTCTTCAGATTCATATAGATCTTCTCTATCCCCCAAACACTATCCTAGTCCAGTATCTCCATACCTTCCCTCTGGATTTTGATTACAACAGTCTTCTAATTTGACCAATTTCTATTAAGGTTCTCCTCTAGTCCTAAACATAGCCTTCTGAACTAATCTCCTTTGATCTCATCATTCCTCTAGTTAAAAAGCCATTTGATGTTCCTCCATCAGATAACTGAAACTACTTAGTCTTTTATTTGAGGCTCTGCTTGGCCCCAGATTGCTATTCTATTTCTTCTACCTCATTACTCAGCTACCAACTCTCAAGATTCAAGCAAACCTGTCTATTCCTGACTCTCTCAATAATGCATCTTGCCCCTTTTGACCTCAGCAGCAATCTAAGCTGTTCAGGGAATCTCTACCACCACAAAATGCTCCACTTCAAAACCTCCTTACTATGAAGATCTAGCACAACCCCAACCATTTTTGTGATCACTCATCAGTGATCCGTTTTCTCAGCACTGACAGCACTTTCTTATTTTGTAACTATATTCACTTACATTCCTCATACTATATGAGCTAGGTGACAAGGGAAAACTTGTTTGGAATTAAAATTCGTTGGCAGATAATACACAAATTAGGACATATATGTTTAATATATGTACAGAAAAGGATACCTATTTTTCACTAACTATAATTCTAAAATGTAAAGGGCTTTTAACTTAGCCAAAACCCAACAAAAGGAGCCTGGGGGAATTTCATGTCAGTAGGTGTCTTTAAGAACAGGCAGATGAAGGGCAGCTAGATGGTGCAGTGGATAGAGCACTGGCCCTGGAGTCAGGAGGACCCGAGTTCAAATCCAGCCTCAGACACATAATACTTCCTAGCTGTGTGACTCTGGGCAAGTCACTTAACCCCAACTGCTTCACTTACCAAAAAAAACAAAAAAAAAAACAAAAAAAACCACAAACAGGCAGATGACCATCTATCTGGATGCTAAAATCCAACTTCAACTACATAAACCCTGTAACAACTTGTTCATTATTTAAAAAAAAAAAAGGGTCGAGGCTAGAGTCAGGTTATGGAATAGGGAAATGGTGCAAACACTCTGCCACTCACAATTTTACGGTAATTGCTCATTTTTTTAGTCTCCTAAAAAAGATACAATAAACACACATTCATAGACCTCCTATATTAATCAAGCTTTATAACTTCCTATAAGTCAAGCAGATAAATAAAACTTAATTGCTTAGACTACTCA